GGCTTAGTATTATTACTATTATTATTTTTGATGGCCCATATGGAAACACTTGAGTGGATTTTCAAGGCGCTGCTGAATGACTCCAGTTGTGCTAATGGGTTGAGACATTATCAAGGTTGTGCATGCCAGCAGAAGCCTCTAGACCTTGCAAAGCAAAGGGTGCAGGCCCAACCCTGCCCCTGCCTCTACTTGAATGTTGGCTCTTCTTGCAGCGCCATGTGACAGAGCCGCCGTAACTGGGTCAGAATGTCAGGGAGGGCCTCTGCCTGCCGCCCGGTGGGAGCAGCTGCCTGGGCTGGAGATGCAGCTGTCGCTGTAGAAGCCTCCAGGCGCACAGAACTGGCACTGGGCACCGCTCCCTTTCCCGAACATCCCTGGAGGCTCCAGGTGGCGGAGCTGTGCCAGGCGCCGGAGCCAGGAGGGTGTGCCGCCCCCTTGAGGGCCACCCCACCCTTCCCACACCGCCTGGCAGTGTTGAGTCCTGTGCTTGGGGCCCCCACAGCCCTCCCTGTGCAGGGACACAGCTGGTCACACCTGCTGAGCCAGGCTGACCTTCCCAAGTCTGAGCTGTCCAAGGAAGCACAGATGGCTGCAATGGTGGCCTTGGTCTCCAACTGCACATCAGAATCACCGCGCGGCTTTCTGCACTCTCAGTGGCCAGAGACACAGTGAGTGTTCATAGAGGAAGAAGTGGCATCTAGATATTCTGGCAGTTTCGTGTAAGCTTCTGCTGTACAGCTGAGGTTGGGAGCCACTGGCCCAGGCTGGCTGCGGTGGCCAGTACTTTGTAATCCCAGCACTTTGAGAGGCTGAGGAGGGAGGATCGCTTGAGGCCAGGAGTTCGAGACCAGCCTGGGCAATACTGCAAGACCCTGGCTCTACAGAAAATTTTTACAAATTAGCCAGGTGTGGCAGCGCACACCTGTAGTCCCAACTACTCAGAGGCTGAGGTGGGAGGATCGCTTGAGCCCAGGAGTTTGAGGTTATAGTGAGCTACGATGGTGCCACTGCACTCTAGCCAGGGCAACAGAGCAAGACTCTGTCTCTGAAACAAACAAACAAACAAACAAACAAAGGCAATAAATAAATATAAAGCAATCCTTGCATGTCAAGTGTCATGGGATAGGAAAATTAGATTCGAGACCAGCCTGGGCAACATAGAGAGAAAACTCACCTCTACAAAAAATATTAAAAAGTTAGCAAAGTGACGTTACAGGGAGCTATGATCATACCACTACACTCCAGCCTGGGCGAAAGAATGAGACTTTGTCTGTTACAACAAAACAAAAGGAACCACTGGCCCAGAGGCATTGCAGACAGACATTGGCACGTTGGGTGAGAACCCGCATGGACACTATTCACTGTCACGTGCATGCATCTCTTTAGTTGCAGAGCTCGGGAACCAGGGTGTGTGCCTTTCGTATTGAGGCTCACAGAGACACATGTGAGCCTCACATGTAACAAATATGGCTTCTTTTTTTTATGATGGTGACGGTGTTGGCGACAAGAAAAAAAGAAACACCCGGGTGCGGCGTTGCTGTGGCCGGGACTTGGGAACGGCGGCTCCCATTGAGAGCTGGCTTTGCCTTTAAGTCCATGTGCCGTCCCAGCAGAGGTGGGTGCCCTTGAGGCTAACGGAGCTGAGGCTTTGCTTTCCCTCCTGGGCCCTTCAAAGGCCTGTTCTTAATTTTATGTTCAGATGGTACATTCATTTCCTAAGTGGGGAGGGCGCTCAAATTTATGTAAGCTTCAGGGCCTGTGCGCGCCTCGCCACGGCTGTCAGGACGGGGCACTGAACGCTGCACTCACAGCCACTGGGGTGCCACCTGCCCCCGCGCCTCCTCCCCCTGCCCAGGCGCTGCCTCAGCTCTGCTCTGGAAATTTCTGCTGCTCTTGAGCTCCGACTTGAAGGTCCAACTGCTTACTGGTCACAGCTCCAACTTACTGGACCTAAGTTGGAGGTCCCCTGAAAACTCCAGATCTGCACGTCCTATGTACTGCACTCACTGTCGCCCCAGGTCTCCTCCTTTCTTAGAGTCCACACTCTGGTCGACCTGAAGCCTGGAGTCCCTCCTCCTCTCTCGGCCACCCTCTCCCGGACACAGTTGACGACTAGCCCTACCTTCTCAATGTCCCGGGTCCCTTCTCCACTCCCCTTACTGAGCGGCGGCCCCCAGCCCCGCCAGGTGTGGCCTGCGCTCCCGGAACGATGCCCCAGCTGTCCCCACCCACGCAGCTGCCAGAGGACGGCTCTGCGATGGTGCAGACCTGACGGGGACGGCCTGCTGCCGCCTACGGAGGACGGAGTCCTCCTGGCGGAGCCCCCAAGGCCTCCAGGAGCCCGCCCGCTCTCCTCGCACCAGGTTCCGGTGCGCACAGCGCTGTGTCCCCTCCCCGCTGTCGCACCGTCCTGTCCCCTCACTGAGCTTCTCGAGCACGCTGGCCTCGCTCCTGCAGGCCTCCCCACGCCGCTCCTCCACCTGCAAAGCTCCAAGACCTCGAAGCTGCTCCTTGCCCTTCGCTCCCTCTGTGAGGACGTTTCCCTCCCTCCTGGAACCCACCGCCGGCCCTCGCGTGGACGGCTGTGGTGGCACTCAGACCCCGGCTCGGCTGTCACACGTATCTCTCTCCCGGACAGACGGGGCAGGCCTGGGGGACAGGATTTATGTCTCATTTACCTCAGTGCCCAGTGGTGTGCTTGGCACACAACAGGAAAACAATGGGCATTTTTGAATGGATGAATGAGTGAATGAATGAATGAGTGAATGAATGAATGAGTGAATGAATGAATGAATGGCGGCTCTGATAGCTACATTGTCTTTTTTTTTTTTTTGAGACAGAGTCTCACTTTGTTGCCCAGCTAGAAGAATGAGTGCCGTGGCGTCAGCCTAGCTCACAGCAACCTCAAACTTCTGGGCTCAAGCGATCCTCCTGCCTCAGCCTCCCGAGTAGCTGGGACTACAGGCATGCGCCACCATGCCCGGCTAATTTTTTCTATATGTATTAGTTGGCCAATTAATTTCTTTCTATTTATAGTAGAGACGAGGTCTTGCTCTTGCTCAGGCTGGTTTCGAACTCCTGACTTCGAGTGATCCGCCTGCCTCAGCTTCCCAGAGTGCTAGGATTGCAGGCGTGAGCCACCGAGCCCGGCCTCCGTTGTCTTTCAATTAGTAACAGGCCTAGGAATTCCAATTTCCTCCTCAAAGGCCACAGAAACACAAATTATTTTAAATAACAACACAGTCTTGAGTTAGAGCCACTGCCCTGGAAAACTATATTGGCCTTTTAACATTTTTAATTCACCGACCTGGATTAAGTTCCACAGATCTTTATAAATTCTCTCATTCGATGACTTATCATTCATGCTTTGGCTTCTTGCTTTTCCTTATCTTGAAGCCCCTTTTAGAGTCTCGTACTAATAGAATTTCCTGAGCCCTTGCTAGGTTTATGTATAACAGGTGCCACCTCATGACCTCCTCAATCTTCACTAGAACCTCAATTCGAGAAATGAAGACAGTTTAAACCTATTAATAATCAATTGAACCAAACAGGTATGAATACTTGCTAGCATGTCTTTCGATAAGCCTAGAGGGAAAGGAGATTTCAACCCCGGATTTTAATGAGCTCTGGTATAGATCTCAATTATCCACGTGGTCCTAGGTCTTCCACCGCCCTGGGCACGAAAGAGCTGGATGTACCGCAGCCAGGATTTTGCGAAAGGCTCTAGGAGTATTCCTGGCTTTTGCACGCAGAAAAAACAGGCAGATTGAAAAGAAAAGAGAGTAGACGTAAAAAGATAGAGGGAGGGAAGAGAGAATTCTAGAAGAAAAGGCATGGTAAATTAAGGCCACAGGGAGAAAAGGCTCAGGGGAAACTGAAAGACAGATACAGGGAGAAATAGCTATATTGACCCCACGACCAAGAAAAGTCAGAACACGGCGTCCAATTCAGTCTTGTTGCGCATAAATGGAAACCAACAGGTTTGGAGACAGCCACGCACAACACACCCCTCCAACAGTCCCCAGTGAACAATTTCTCCCTCCTTTGCTCAGCATCTTCTCTTAGAGCATAAACGACTTACTGATCAATTGAGTGAAAATCCTGCCCAACATAAGGCCATTTTCCCCCTAACCACTTAATACAGAAGCTGGCTAAGGACCGATGTTAAGTGGATCAACTCAGATATGCAGTGTGGGTTTCAATCCACAGCGGCTTGGAAAGCAGTCTGGAATGACATAATGGCCCGACATTGCTTTCTCTCTGCTAAACCAAATGTGGTTTCGATAGGCTCTTAATACACATTTCAGGTTCGAACTGCGTCCCACCTCCCTGTCACTCTCCGCCAGAGAATGACAGCACTCGCCTCGAAGGTATTTTGCCATTATAATTTTTCAATTTGCTCTGGTCTGAAAAAAATGTGTGTAAATGAAAACAGAAAATTCAAACTCTGTGCTCCCTTTAAACACCTCGTTCTGGGTGTACCAGGACTTTGCCGGATTTCCAGGAAGTCTTTTATTTTTTCACCTCTTTTTGACCTATAATATCTTTTTTTTTTTTTTTTTTTTTTAAGCTCTTCCATCTCCCCCTACCCCATCCCCAAAAACCTTCGGGAGAACTCAGATTGGCCTCAGGATTCAGAGACAGATGCCACTTTGTATTTCCAAAGTTATACAGCCCACCTCCAGGCCCCCCACCCCCTGTAAATTAAGAAACACGACAGCGCCTCACAAGTTCTTTTGCCCATCTGCTCTAGGGGTGGGGGGAGGCCTAAGCCAGTCACCTTGCTTTAAGTAATTGTAACAGCTCAGGTTTCGTTAGAGACAGGGAGACAGAATATTTACCCAGGGAACTCAGAATGGATTACTGTGGATAGTTTGTGTACACTTAAGTTAGCCGGGCATTGTTGAGTCTGTAGGCTGCATTTTTACGCCTTCCCACCCTTCCTGTGTTCCATCTCTCCATCTGAGAGCCATCAAACCCACACGAGCGAACACCCTTACCTTCCTTGGCTTCACTTTGTCGTGGTAGTCATACTGGAAGATTCCTTTGTAGCTCAGCCCCAGCCACCACGGGATGCCCTGCTTGTCCTAGGATGTCGAAAGGAGCCTGAGTAAATACACGGCCGGAGGAGGACACCGCCAACCACGAGGAGATTCCAGGCCCAGCTGAAGACGAGGGAAATGCAATCTCCCTGGACTGGACCGAGCCCACCTGTCTGCCTTCCACCTTAACAGCTGTGCCCAGTATCTAAGGACACTCCCGTTATGCGAATAGAGGGGACATGGGAAGTGTCCAGGGCTGGGGACTGGGCTCTGTTCCCAACCAGGTACACAGCAGGGTCCCTTCCCCTTTATAAATAAGGAGCAAATGCCCTTTTTTTTTTTTTTTTTTTTTTTTTTATAAGACTTTAGGCTTTGCATGCCGGGCCCCTTACTCGCCATCAAGGAAAACTTGAGAGCTGTTGCACATTCTCATAAAAGGACCTTCTGAGCAGAGAAACTGTCATCGGCTGTCAGAGCTAGAGGGGCTGTGGGGGCGAAGGAAAGTGACTCCTCTCATTTTAAGGGCAAATCGCAGCAAAGAGCCGGCCCGGCTTCACTGTGGACCCTCCCTAACCCCAGCCAGCCGTCAGAGCTAGAGGGGCTGTGGGGGCGAAGGAAAGTGACTCCTCTCATTTTAAGGGCAAATCGCAGCAAAGAGCCGGCCCGGCTTCACTGTGGACCCTCCCTAACCCCAGCCAGCCGACGGCAGTGCAGGCTGGAAGGTGTGACACCCCTGAGGTCCTGCTCGCCCCGGAGCACAGCTGGGTGCCAGGCTGGACGAGGAGGCAAAACCGCAGCCCAAACATTCTCAGGACCGAGTTAGAAACACCAAGTCCCTGTGTGTGCCTTTAACAGAGACCTCTCATCGCCTGAGTGTAAGTTGCAATTCTACACTCAAACGGAATGATTCTGAATCATTAATGCAAGCTGCCAAATGCTAATGTATTATAGTATGGACAACCAAGCAGTGTTTCCCTAGATTTGTCCTACTTGCCAAGTCTCTGAACAACCTAATACGCCCCCCTGTCATGGGTGTCTCGAAAACTCAAAATTGGCGCAATGGTTTTGAACTATTTGTGGGGTGTGAGTTATTTCAAGATGAGCACAAAGACAAAAGGCAAAAGAGACACATTTTGAAATTTTTTTAAAGTTTCAGGGTGTATGATTTTGTTAAAAAATGTGAAAGGTAGCGTAAATCCTTGTCTTATAACCCAGTCTCTAGGAAGTACCTGTGTGCATGCAATGGTTTCAGAGACTAGAAATCCAATGCCGCTACTGCAGGTGGACCAGGTAAATGCTGTCATTACACCAGGAGATCGCAAGGCCACCAAACAGGGAGCCCAGCACAGTTGGGTCAGGCTCGCTTGGCTCGTGCTCTTTTTCCACGTCAGCAGCAGAGCGACTGCTTTCGCTTTGAGATTCCCAGAGCCAAGCACCCACACTGACTTGGCGCTTTGGAAAACACAAGCCCTGCTTCTGGGTCTCTAACAAACTGAAATAAGAGCACATTTCTAAGGTTTTATTGGAATGCAGAAAGTATATGTATATATATACGTATCTCAGAGACAGCTTTTTTGTTAAGTTCTAGGGCCGAGAAAGAAACAGAGCATAGGTTTAAGCAAGACGAAAGACCAGATGGAGTTTGCTCTATCTCAAATATCCTTCCAATGTTCACAAGACTTTTATAGGGGTAGTCGGGGAGGCCAGTTTCTCAATCTCTCTTTTAATCGCATGAGATGGAAGCGAGCTAAAATGTAGGACAAACAGCAAACCAGAGAATATAGTCCAGGGATTCCTAAATTCCTGGTTCCCATCCTTGACTATAGACTTCCCGGCTATTCCTCACCATGGAGTCTTTCCACGATTGAGAGAAAAGCTCACAGTTGAATTTCTATGAAATGCCTCTTATCAGAATGTCCAAAGCTATTGTGGGAGCCTTCTGTTTCTTGTACGGTAACGAGATGGAGAGATAGAAGCTCTCCCTAGCAGTGCTGTTAACACCCGCCACCAGCACGGATGAACTTCCAGACTCTTCTCATGAAGAACTGAATTTCCTCTGGGGGAGCCGACTGTCCCCTACTGCAGTGGCCATGTCCCCGGCACAGCCTTGCACAGGGTCATCTCCTTAGAGGATCCACCTTTCTATCAATAGTACGGGACAGGGAAGGCCCCAGGTGGCCAGGTCACACTGCTCATGACAGACTGTAGCTTAGGCTAAGGGCAAGGCTGGTTGTGATGGCTGTAGGAGTTCCTGCAATGATGGTGAAGAGGGATTCGGAGCGTCCATGGGAGAGAGGAGCTTTGGCAGGACATTGGGAGGAATTTAACCACTGTAGGCATTAAACAATCCTGAGCCAAGCTGTGGGATGAGACTGGGCACCCTCACATGCCTCACAGCTCCGGGTGTAGTTGCAACGTGTGTTCCCACCATGGGAACACATATATCCGTCCACTCCATTCCACTCTCAAGAACATTTACTCAGCAAATATTTACTGGGTGGGCACCCACTATGTGCCAGGCACTACGCTGGGTTCTGGGACTATACAATAGAATGCAGCTACATAGCCTTCGCCATCTCAAGCCTGCAGTTTAGCAGATGCTAGAGGCAATTCAGTGCATGCCAATGGCATGCAAAGCGTTACTCGAGCTACCATGGCTGGTGCAAAAATGAATGAAACGTGGTGCATGTTCTAGTCTAAAGGAATTAAAAACAGAGTTGGGTGGAAACATGGGGAAAGGCACTGGTGGATGAGTAAGAAAGAGAATCTCAGGTTGGGGGGTGAACTGTCTTGAGTTCAGAAATGTTTTCTGCTCTTTTGTGGCCAGACTCTGGGCAATGACTTAGTTATACTTTTCATGTGAGGGCAAATTAAGGCAGAAGAAGGAAGGGAACTTGTCCTTCTGAGAGGCTCATGGTGGAGGGCATCTTTATCTATTGTTTCAAAGAAGAGTTTGCAGCCTGGAATATTATGGATAAAACAAAAGAGAATTTTGAACGGGGCCAAAGTCAGCACTGGGCTTGGCCATCACAACATTCGAGAAGACAGATAGCGTCTTCATAAATGGTCACGTACTCAATTTGTCAGCCTATAAATAATCCCAGATCTCCTCCCATGAAGCTGCTTTTGTGGTGTTTGACCACCACGAGAAACAAAGATTCTGATGAAAGTTCTTGTACTTTCTCTATAGTTTCTTGCATTTGGATGGAGTCTTCCTACTGATGCACTCAGTAGTCTCCTCTGCCAAGATTCCTCTGAGACCAAAAGGAAGTCAGGGTTTATTATATTACTTGACAGGAGGAAGCCTGAGTTTTGAAGCGTAACTGTTATTGAGTCTCACTACATGGGGGTGTAAAATGCAGAGGCCCAGCTCCCCCGAGCATGCAATCTTCCTGCCTGGTCCTCCCCGTTCCCCACTCCTACCAAAAACAATCTTTAGTAAGATCAAAGTAAAAAAAAAATGAGAAGTTTTTGTTTACTTGTTTTTTTTAAGGGCCAAATGAGCTCACTCACCTTCACCGCATAGTAGTGAACCCCGTAGGTTGGCAGGGACTCCACGATGCTCATGTAGCTGGGAAGACAACACGCACACAGACGGGGTGGTTACTCGGCAGAACTGGGGTCACACACATATCTGTGTGTACGTGTGTGATAAACTTCTCAGAGTGACTACTTACTTGCAAATTAAAATGAAACATACACCCGTCCCCCCAACCCCTGCCTGGGAGATGGGCTCCATTTCCAAGAAGAACGGAGCGATGCTGACATGTCATGTACTCACACGCACACACAGTCTCCACGAGCGCAGGGAAGGGCCACTTACTTCACGATTGCTTGACCTCTCGTCTGGCCGTTCAGCTTCTTGTAGTACTCAATTACTCTGTCTTCACTAGAATGAGAAGAAAAGAATTCCGTTACGGGAGTGCCAAGGTCAACGGCCAAGACTCCTGCTAGTGAGACACTTCTGAGCCCGAGCAACTTCAGGAGAAGCTCCGATCTTTCCGAGAACACAGAGGACGTGACCGCTCCTTCAGCCAGGGCCACCTGGTTCCGTTTACACCCTGGGCACCTCAGTTAGCCAGGGGGAATCCATGCCGACTGCCGGCCCAGGGCCCGCCTTAACAACTTGTACCCACATTCATGACGTCCCAAAGGAGCACATTTGAGCTTCTCCGACATTAAACATCTTGGAGAAGAGACCAGACGTGCATCGATCGCAGTGAAAGAGATCAATAACGTCACTTCTCCCACTTTCGATTTTGACGTGGTGGGGAAGGCTAGGAGTCCACGCACAGTTTAACTGCGTCCTCCACTTAGGGTCTCTCACGGCTGACGTCACGGTCCTGGCAAGGCCGAGCTCGCACGTGGAGACCCGACCGGACGAGAACCCGCTTCCGAACTCACTCAGACTTTCAGGGGGTTCAAGGCGGGGCAAGATGGCCAAACAGAAACCTCTGGCGATCGTCCCTCCACAGGAACACCAACTTCAACAACTGTCTGCCCGTCCATGCGAGCAAACCAAAAGTCAGAAGAACCAAAACCCAGGTGAGCAGTCTCCGATGGTGTGCAGGGCGGCCCGGGTGGCGGCGTGTCCCTACTTGGGAGGTGACCCTGGCGCCCTCGGGTGGTAGCAGTGGCTGTGCCCGCTGCGGTGATGGAACCCGGAGAGCCGGCCTTGGAGCCTCAGTTCTCGCTCTCCTGCCGCCTCCTAACTAGAGGCAACTCCAAGTTCAAGTTCGAGTGTGACAAAGGCCTCTCCTGACCGACAATCCCAAGGGGCACCGTCTCCAGGCACGGCCCTGGCAGTGCCAGGCCTTCGGAGTCATGGCAAGAGGTTCGGGGTCCATCCTCCCCTCCCCCCTAGTCCACAGCCTCGCTGGTGCATTTCCTGTCACTCGGTCTGGGGTTTTGTGAGGTCGGCGCCTAGATCAGGGTCAAGCAACTCGATGCAGACAACCTCCTGTTTCCTCTGCAGCTCTGGGCAGAGGGTCCGGGGGAGGTGGGGAGATGAAAGTCAAGGTCGGGCCGAGCACACGCCAGCCTCATGCAAAGCAGCAGAGACAGGCCGTGGGAGACACCGCCAGAAAGCTGCTGACCAGCCAGCCACACCGCCTGCCCCGGGTCTCCTGGTGCCCAACAGCTGCAGGAATCTGTCGCCCCACCCCCCACCTGGGCCTGTGGCTCTTGCCGCCTTGAGACCACCTTTGAAGCCACAAGGGCGACCTTCTCCGTCCCCAATTTTTCTTGCTCTTTTGGTGGCCCCATAATGTGTGAGCACGGAGCAGATAGTGGAGACAGCGCAAGAAAAATCCAGAACGAGAGGCGGAGAGAAAGAAAGGGAGGGAGGGAGAGGCAGAGAGAGAGAGGAGAAGAATTCATGATTCCCAAGTACACACGGGGGTGTCACAGGTTGGGAACCAAAGGAACAAAGAGGTGATCACGGACCCACCGACATGGCAGCCCTCAGTGGCAGATGACCCCTCCCTGCAGGAACATCCGGCCTCTCGAGTGACCTTCCTGCACCCCCATGTCCTTCCCCACTGGTTTCCTGGAAGCGAACGGCTAGCAGGGAGGGGACAGAAGATAAGGGCCCAGGAGCAGGAGGAACTGGAGTGGAGGGTGACAGGGTCCCACGAACCAGGAAACACGTCCAACACTTTTTGGTGTTCGCGTGTGCAGCCTGCATGCCAGGCGGGTCTGCTCAAACCACCCGAATGGCTGTCCAATCAGTTTACTGCCTGGAAAAGGGTCCAGACAAGATGAAACGCTAGTGTAATCCGTGTATTTCAGAAAGTGTAGACACAAGTCACGTGCTGTAGTCTATTAGGATTGACTTGTTCTTTGTGGTTTTTTTTCTTTTTTTTTTTTTTGAGACAGAGTCTCACTCTGTTGCCCAGGCTAGAGTGAGTGCCGTGGCGTCAGCCTAGCTCACAGCAACCTCAATCTCCTGGGCTCAAGCGATCCTCCTGCCTCAGCCTCCCGAGTAGCTGGGACTACAGGCATGCGCCACCATGCCTGGCTAATTTTTGCTATATATTTTTAGTTGGCCAATTAATTTCTTTCTATTTTTAGTAGAGACGGGGGTCTCACTCTTGCTCAGGCTGGTTTCAAACTCCTGAGCTCAAATGATCCTCCCGCCCCGGCCTCCCAGAGTGCTAGGATTACAGGCGTGAGCCACCGCGCCCAACCTGTGTTTTGTTTTAATAAAAATGGTTACAGTGACTTTTGTTGAGCAGTCAGAGGGAACACTGGAGAGGCAGAATTGTCCTTGTCAAATGGCAACAGTCAGAGCTCAGGAGCCCAACAGGATGTCAACACAGCACCCCAGGAACGCAAGCCCCGCTCGGCCTTGGGCCAGACCGCGCTCTGGGAACCTTTCAAACACCTGGATCATTCAGACTCAGTAATTTAGGGCCCGATAGATGAACTAGGGCTTACTGTTACAAGGCAGCTCAATCAGGAGATACGAAACACTGCAGGAAAATAAAAGAATCACTCTCTTTCGCAACGAAAAAAAAAAAAGCCTGTGGTTCTCCCACATCTCAAAACCTCACAGATCCTGCCATCAAATGACAGTGGCTCCAAATGAAACCCGAGCAGCACATGAAAGGCTCTCCAAGTAGGCGAAACTTCCAAAGTGAAATTCTAGAAGGTTTTTTTTTTTAATAGAAACAACAGAAAAGGAGAGGTCTCACACACAGTACATCATAGCAATACATGCAGAAACCGGTCTCACGAAGACATCAGGGACTTAATTCATGCACCCAGGAGTGTCACCGACCCCAGGGGGTCTTACCAGTAGGCCAGGGAAGGGTGCTCCTTCAGGGCTTGGGTGGGAAGGGCCGGCAGCTTCTTTAGGTCGCTCCTCACTACTTCATTACTGCAAGAGAGAAATGCCCAGAAATGCACTCGCTCTGAAAAAAATAGCCATACTCTCTCATCCAACCTGGCCCGGCGACTTGTCCCAGAGACCCCACACATCTGTTCCCTTTCATGAAGAGCGGTGGGAGGGAGGGGCATGCTTTTTTTATTTATTTACTTAACAGAGATGAAAAAGGAAGGCACAACACCCAGAGCCCCTGCAGCTGCTTCTCGCAGGGCAGAAAGCAGGGCAGGGAGCCCAAGGACGACCCAAGTGCCTTTCCAAATGCTGCTCTCAAATAGTCAGCAGTGCAGACTGAGCACCCCTGGGCTGCCCTGAGCAGAAATCCGGGAGGGGAAGGGTCCCCGGGGTGCCCCTGAGGGAGGACCCTAGAAGCAGCTCCCCAAGGCCCCGCTGTCAGGCTCAGAGTGTCCAAGAATGGGCACTGTCACTGCTTTCTCTGCAGAGGGACTCGCCTTGCTACTACACAATGCCGGTTTGCTTTCCTTAGCTTGATCGTGTGCTGGAAACCGTCTTCTGAAATATGGTAAATAAACTGAGTTTAGGTTGAGTCTTCCTCATCTGAAATGGTTGGGAGCTGAAGTATTGCGGATTTCATTATTTTTTTCGGATTTTGGGATATTTGGTTGAGCATCCCAAATTCTGAAAAATCTGAAAAAAAAAATCTCAAAATCTAAAACCCGAGGTTGCTCCAATGAGCATTTCCTTTGAGTGGCATGTCATGTCGACATTCGAAATGTTTCAGATTTTGGAGCGTTTCGAATTTCAGATTTTCAGATCAGGGAGACTCAAGAGGCCCCAAACGACTTAGAAAGCGTGAAATGTACTGTCCGCTACAGGCTGAGCATCCTATATCCAGAAATCAAAGATCCGATATTTCCAGATGATTTTCAGATTTGGAGATGCTCAACAGGTCAGTATACAAGGCAAATATTCCAAAATAAAAACAAAAATACAAAATCTGAAACAATTTTGCTCCCAAGCATTTGGGATGAGGGAGACTCAACCTGTACTATTATCTAGGCTTGGGACCAGAAATTCTTTTTCCCATAGAATCCCATCTGCTCAGGTTTGAAAGATGCTTTATACTCCCCCCAGTTTAACCAGCCTCCTTCAGACAGTGGACCCCTCTCTAGACACTCAGCAGGTCCCCATCCCCCCAGCCCGCCAGGCCATCTGTGGCGCTGGCACTTACTACCTCCAGAGCCATGAGTGGCATCCACTTTGGGGTGGTTGTGGTATGGAAAGAGCACCGCCCTGTGCTGGCCCAGCAAAGAGCCTCAGCTGGGGTTGCAAAGGCTCCTGTCGTGGAGCCGAACCTCGCCTTCCACGACCTGGGCCGTGCTGGCACCTTCTGTGTTGCTCATACAAAGCAAGACAAATATCAGCCACCACGACATTGAGAAGTACCCTCCAAAAAAACCAGTGAGCTAGGACCTCAAGAAATAAATGTGAAGGAAGGAAGGAACACTGCGGTCAAAGTTGGGGCATTCCTGAGGTGTCTGGATGGCGGACACCCCAACACCCATGCTGCTAACAGGAGGATGTATCATTCATTCCATGTGTCCCGGTGGGAAATATTGCCAATCACAATGAGATCAGCAGCTCCACCACTGGAAACCAGTGCCCACTGGGCAAAACCATACCAACACTTTAAGTTCATTTGAATGGTGACAAAGAAACACATGGAGATGCAGTGACAGCATAGCTGTTCCCAGAAAGGGCATTTTTCAAGTGCATACAGAAGCAATGACAGTGGTGTTTGTGAATCCTGGCTGCAAATGACCAACTAGAGGGAAAAGTTCAATTCGTAATTGTTTCAATCACCACACACGAGTACTTGGACTGTTATAATCTAAGTGATAAAATAAGTATTTACTAATTAATAACCAATAAGCTAAAGGTATTTATGGAGCCTCTGCTAGCGTATAGAAAGTATTGTAGGGGATACAAAAAATAACGAGACAGTCCTTACCCAAAAGATGCTCATGATTTAGCTGAGAAGGCGGGAGGTGCACCCGCAAAGCTAACTGACCACAAGGGCAGTGTTTGCTTGTGTCAATTCAAATGACAAACTTGAAAGTCCAGAGGAAATAAAGTCCCCTTAGGGCTCTGGGGTAAGACCAGGCTTTGCAGGAGGCCTGCATGAAGAAAAGGGTAGGAATAGCATCTTTCTCCCAATGGGACACAGAAAGTCATGGCGGCCATGTCAATGGAATTGAAGAAACTGACTAGAGTGGGTGGTATGTCATGGGCCAAATGACCTTCAACGCCGGGCTAAGAGGTTCAAGTTGATCTAGTCGGTAGTTGGACAGCCACTGCAGGTTTTCAAACAGGTACGGTCCTGGCACTTAGAAAAACACCATCCCTAAGTATGATGCAGAACTTTTACTCAAATGCTATGAAAGCATGGTTTAAGCAAATATTCAGTTCGCCAATCACCTGAAAGCCCACAGTGATGAATCTTTTGATCTTTTCTCCCTATTTAACCGCAAGTTCCCTGAGGAAAGGGATTTGACTCACTGGTTCATCAGCATCTAGAGCAGGCGTCCTCAAACTACAGCCCTCGGGCCACATGTGGGTTATTTTGCCCGTTTGTTTTTTCACTTCGAAATAAGATATGTGCAGTGTGCATAGGAATTTGTTCATAGTTTTTTTTAAACTATAGTCCGGCCCTCGAACGGTTTGAGAGACAGTGAACTGGCCCCCTGTTTAAAAAGTTTGAGGACCCCTGATCTAGAGTATTGCCTTCAGTTCCAAAGGTACTTTCATCAGATAAATATATTGGATGAAACAATGAGAAAGGTTCATCAGTAGATCTTTTAGTGAGCTGAAACTTGAGTTTGGGTTTACTCACACCCATCCCATCTAAAGTATATTTGGGGAAGGAAGGAACTAAGGGAAGAAGGGATCGTTTTTTACCCACCGAACACTTGTTTGTTGGCAAACAAGTTTCCCTGATGACAGCCACAGGTTCGGTTTCCTTGCTGCAGCTTGCAGTCGGTTCTGTGGCTGTCCCCCAGGGCAAGGTTACACAGAAAAATATAACAAGAAATCACCAAGGCGTGAAGCCCTTCCAAATCCATTATATTCTGGAAGCGATCCATGGCTCTTAATGCTTCCCGAAGGACAAACACGTAGCAATGTTCTATTTGCCTTTCCGCTGTTTATAAACATCTGCAATAACTTAGAGGTGTCCAGCTCTGTCAATCTGGCCAAACACCGTGGCTGAAAATCAGAAAGCTGCCGGATGGAAAACTTGGTCACTCTGTCTCCAGAGACTTGTGAGGCTATGCCCTAACAAATGTTCTGGAAGTTCCCAGTTTCCTACCCAAGTGTCTTCCACTTTGATGTTTTCCCCAGAGTTCACTGCAAGTGATAAATACCAGCTTTTAAAACAGTTCATTGTGGTTGTTATTCCATTTTTAGAAAAAAGTAAAAAGGTCGTTTAGAGAGCCAGTTGCTAAACTGAAAATAAAATGCAAGCCTTACTGCCTCCAATATTAACCGGATTTTATACAAAACTTTTAGGTAGCTATTAATGTTGCCAGCAGAAAAGTAGTATGTAGGATGTTGTGTTGGTCCTTGATTTTCGTTGTTTTGTTTTGTTTTTGAGATGATGTGCCTGTCTTTGACCACCTATACTGCTCATAAAACATGGGAGGTTAGAGTGATCTACTGGGGAAAACCAAAGATTTCTAGCAATACATAAAACAGAGAATTTGCCACAGTGAACAACAACAAATTTAACCAAGATACCACAAAGTGAAGAAAGCAGAAATGATTTTTGCAAGAGAAGAATTAGCAAAATCCACCAAGTGTTTGTTTTCCTTTAAAATACTAGGAAATAACGTTTTCAAGAGATTCCCCTTGGGTCAAATGAAATGTCTGTAATTTGTGGGAGAAACCTGGGAGCAAAGAGAATATGCTGAGTGTGGAAGAATTATGCCTGAAACAGTTGTTCTGATATGCACTGGTATAAAAATAATAGGGTGCTAAACCCAGAAAGTAATACTAGCGTAACAGAAACGATAACACAACACTCAGAAACAGTAATATGAGCTGGCATTGGACTAACTCCTCCATATTTCAGGAGAGGATTATCAAAGGTAAAGTTCTCCAGGAAGAGGTATTTCATAAGTGAAAAAGAGGATGGCAGGTCCTCAATCCCTTAATTCACAATCCCCAAATCCACGAAGCTCTGGGAAACAAGTTTTTCTTAACCAGGTTGCCAGCAAACTTAACCTTTTTGCATGAGCAAAAAGTGTTTGACCTTTTATCTCTCCCACTTGGTGTGAACATCCAAGTTTTGGTGCAAGAGCGTTGATGGGTTTGATTTGGGGCTGCCCCAGCCCCTTCCCCTGCCCAGGGGGTGGTACAGGTGCTGAGCTACCCGTCTAAGTAACCCGATCAATTCTGAATTTGGAAACATTGGGACTCTAACGTTTCAGACATGCATTGTAGATCTGTGTTCCTTTATTAGATCGTACAATAAACCTAGAAAACTCTGAGATAGATTCATAAGGGAAGTTATAGATTTTTCTCTATTAATACAACTATCTATCTATAATCATCTGTCGATCTTTAAAATTCATGCAGGAGATAATCTTTAGTCACTTCCCTTTCCTTTCTTCCTCTCTCCCTCCTTCCTCCTCCCTTTTTTTTTTTTTTTTTTTTTTGTGAACCAAGGTCAAGTTGGGGTTACCTGCCTCTCTTCTTTCTATCACTTTTTTTTCCCAGGTATGTAGGTAGGGCTCAACAAAGCTGATGGCTTGGGCCATGTCATAGCGGTCTTCCACCATTGGACTGGGCCCATCCGTCTGACAAACTTCTCCTGCCATTGCATTCGAGCGTTTGCAGACAACAGGAAGCACCTGGGGAGCCTTGGAGATTTTTTTTTTTTCCAGCATGGGATTCTGGGCATGTGTCATAGATAAATATGTCACACCAATTTACCAACTGTTCAGAGGGGCAAAACTGCAGACATATTTATGAAT